AATGGTACTAAGCAAGGTCCATTATTTTCATTGTGTCTGCTTTGAGTCCCTGCTCCTGCCAACCTAGCAGTTCGAAAGCATGTCAAAGTGCAAGTAGATAAATAGGTACTGCTCCCGTGGGAAGTAAACAGCGTTTCCATGCACTGCTCTGGTTCGCCAGAAGCGGCTTAGTCATGCTGGCCACATGACCCGGAAGCCGTACGCCGGCTCCCTCGGCCAATAAAGCGAGATGAGCGCCGCAACCCCAGAGTCGGCCACAACTGGACCTAATGGTCAGGGGTCCTTTACCTTTACCTTTTAAGGGCTCATCCAGACTTCCTTTTGTGCTGTGTTTCCAGGCACACGTCTGCACTATAAAGCACTGTGCCCAAGTGCTTCTCCCTGCCCCAGGTGCTTTTGCTGCCAAAACCCACTCTCTACCGCTGAATTGCAGCAAAGGAAAATCTGAGCTATCATGGGGAAAGTGGCAGGGGAGGAGCGCTCAGACACAGCACAGACCTGTGCCTAGTAAGCATGGGACAAAAGGAAGTCTGGATGAATGATGGATGAATGAATGCTGAATGAAGAGGCCATGAGGGGTAACCGTGTCACATTCATGAGTTTGAAATGGACAAGTCTTGGGTCTCCTTACTACTTACCACTTGCATCAGGTTTGAAGTTGTACAATGGATGAAGTAATGATAGGAACAAGTCAACCATTGACAGCAGTGGTGTGTGGTCAGTGGACTAGGGGGACTAGGATAGTCCCCTAAAAGTTTCTGGTAAATTAGAGTATTATATTATTAAAGGCCAGCGCCTCCTTTCCCAAACCAGGGAAGCTTCTGCCCAGCTTAGGGAGGGAGGCGTGATGTTCATGCACACGTCAAGCTCTCACATGCTGATGTTGCCCCACCACCAACAATTGCCCTCGCAAGCTGGTGCCTCTGGCCCTAACTCTTAGCCTTTGGAAATTTTTACCACACACCACTAACTGACAGGGGCAGAGGTAGGGGGACTAGACTAGGTTCAGTCCTGGATGCTACTTCTTGTTGGAACTGACTTCCCAATTTTTCTAACTATTTTTAGGATATGATAACCTGACTTATTCCCACAGGGAGCCATTTCCATATGAACACTCCTCCTACCCCCAGTTTTCACATGGTACAGTCTCTACCTCAAAAAATAAAATAAACGGCTGTGTGAATTTGGCCTCGGGAGTTAGCCTGGGAAGAAAACAAGGCCAGCTCATCTAGCATGCGGCATAACGGCATGCAATTCCACAATGCAATTTCCTGGCAGCTTTCGGTCAGCGACTGAAGCACTTTGCTCCATGGAGCTATTGATTGTTATGAAAAGAATATGGCTTTGATTGCTTTAACACTTGCTGAAGAGGCTGTTTAACTGCTTAAAGAAACCATAAAGCCTGTGCCTGCATGAAAATGTTTTCTTTCCGATTGCTAAAGCAGCGGCCAGAGCAGCTGAAAAGTCTCTGTTTCTGCTACCTGTGAGTGCAAAGGATGTCTAGCATGAAAAGAGATCATGCAAAGAGGATTCTGAAGCAGGGGGGATCATTCTGAGTTGTTTGTTTTTAAAATCCATCCCTTCATATATATTTTTATTATGAAATGAAACCATTCATTTTTTGTTAATATTTCTGTCTTGTTTTCCTTTCTGTTTCGTATGAATAGCCATTCTTTTCTTCCTCATTTTAAACAATAAAACACCGTTGTTACCTCAACTCTCTCAGTTGATGATTTGTCAGCCTTTTATGTACTTATCATAGTGGCTTGGTGTATGTATTAAGCATGCTAATAACTAAAATTGCTCCTTTTGCATTTCAAAAGCAGCTTCATAATTCTCAACCAATTTAGATTTTTCAAGCTTTCTTTTTTTTTGGTCACTTTATATTATTTGCCAATCATTAAAACTTTATTCTAGGCTTTGAAAAATCTAAAATACTTTTCAAAGAGTTGGATCCTGAGTTGCCCTTCTGAAAACTGGAGGATTTATTCTGTTCACAGGAGGAACTGCAATCTAATGGAGGCTCCTGATGGAAGTACAATGGTACCTCGGGTTACATATGCTTCAGGTTACAGACTCCGCAAATCCAGAAATAGTACCTCGGGTTAAGAACTTTGCTTCAGGATGAGAACAGAAATTGTGCTCCGGCGGTGCAGCAGCAGCTGGAGGCCCCATTAGCTAAAGTGGTGCTTCAGGTTAAGAACAGTTTCAGGTTAAGAACAGACCTCCGGAACGAATTAAGTACTTAACTCGAGGTACCACTGTACTGGGGAGTGGGGGAGGAGCTTTTTGCCAATTATCCCAGCAGCCACAAACGACATCCTGAAGTCCTCTAAAGAACATTTCAAGGGAGCTGCGGATGGAGGGAGAAATTGGCAAAACTGACTCTCCTCAGTCCTTTCTACCAGTGGGACAGTTCCATTCAGTTCTGGGAACTCTGGCTCTGAGCCATAGTGTTTGCCAGTCTGCATGCTGCTTCTATTAGCTTACTGATAGACTTAAAGCATTAAATTGGCTATTGTGTACTAATTGTGTTCTACAGCACTCATCATCCACATGCAATTTTATTCCCCTCCCTACTGTATTTAATAAACCTGCCTTCATCTCTCTTGCTGCGTCCAGTTCTTTGAGGGGCAGTCTTTTCCCCTATTTGTTGGAAATGAATACCCGGCCTACAATGTTATTAATATCCCATTTACAATGGGCTCACTTTATGAATTCTTTAAATAAATTCAAACTATCAGAGCGCTGGTGCTTCACCTGTACCTGTACAAAGGACTGTATAGTGCCGTACTTTCTGGGTTTGAAGGGGACTTCAAACTGCCACTGAATTCTGCACCAGCTAAAGTTTCCGAACCATCTTAAGAGGTGGATAGGTTAGGCTGAGAGGCAATGCCTGGCAAAAAGCCACCCAGTTTGCTTAATGGCCAAGGTGGGATTTGTACCCCGGTCTCATTCTAACCACGACATCATGCTGGCCAGATATGCTTATTACTTTATATGGCAGTGTGATGAGATTCTGGTCCTGAGCACATGATAATAATAAATAATAATAATAATAATAATAATAATAATAATAATAATAATTTATTTATACCCCGCCCATCTGGCTGGGTTTCCCCAGCCACTCTAAGTCACAACTAACATTAATTTTTGCTTTCCCAATACCTTTTAAATGCAATATTTCAACTACACATCCAACATCCTATACCCTTTTAAAATGTGGCTCTTTTTGCGGGGGGGGGGGGGGAGAGTTACTGGGTCATTGTTCCTATTTTGATTTTATATATTGTGATCTTTTCTGTGAACCGCCCTGAGACCTCCAGTTATAGGGCGGGATATAAATTCAATAAATAAACAAAGAAAAATACACATGTCAGCTCTTTTTAAAAGTAAATGGAAGTTGCAATAACATTTCTATATAGAAAAAAGTGTCCTCGGCTTTGTTTTTCACAAATCGAGAAACTGAGAGTGAACCGGAACTTATGACAAGGGTATCTTGCTATCTGAGAAGCCGGTAGATTTGACTTGAATGGTTCTAATCTGAGGTTTTCACAGTGATATCAAATATTAGTCATACCCAAGTAAACTCTATGAGCTTAAGTCCATTTATTTCAATAGGTCTACTCTAAGTATGATTTAATTGGCTGTCACCTACCCTATTTAAATGAAACAAACACAATAAACAACTTTTAAATGGCAGCCTTAGCTATGTGTAAATAAAAATTTGTCTCATAGCCCAAAATTCATCTCAGCTTTCTTCAGAGCATTATTTTGTGATACTTATTTGCTGCCCTCAGGTGGCTACATTTTTGTGACATTTCTGTATTTTGAGTGAAATGCAGGTGAAATGCACACTTTTTTATCCTGTAAATTAAAGCTTAGAATTTCAGATTCCAAATCACTAACTAAAAAGTCAGTTATGATGTTGGGCTGTTATCACCTTGAGAGCAAATCTTTTCAGTTGTTCAGCAGTGGTTCAGAATTCTCTCATCCCCCCTCCCCCATAAACATTAAGGCATGTGTAAAAACTTCCAATTTGCACATATTAAATATGGAATTTCAACGTTCAACAGTTCTATCAGCAGACTTCAAAATTTAAATTAAATTGGAACTGAAACTTCAAAACAAACCAGAGGCCTAAAGGGCTATCATTGCAGTCCATAATATTAGCTGTTTTGGATATTATGATATCGCATGCCATTGTTTCTGTGCTATTTGCCTGTACATGTCTATCCTCATAGGCCTAAAGCAAGGAAAACATTGCACAGATACTTAGGTTTAGCACATCACTGAGCTTGTTCATTCTTCAGCTACAAGTCTTGAATAATCTTGTGCCTACACCCTCACTGTGGAGAGAAATTGGGGAACATATTGGTCTCTATAACATTTATTTGAACACAATAACTACCAGGACACCTAATCCGTCCCTAGAAAAAAAGGAAAGGGAGGGGTAGGTCAGATGACAACTAAATATGGTGTTCCAGAGTTCAATAATTTATTTTTGCCTAGAGAAGGAAGGAGAGATGCATTCCTAATTTTCAGATGGTTCTCAGAAATCTCATCAGAATGTAGTAACTGAACAGCCCCATTGTTAGAGCAGAAATGGAAGTTACCAAGCCTGGATGTTACCAGAACATTAATAAATACTATTAGGCACCCTCTGTCCATCACACCTCCCTTAGCTGGTGAAAAGCTCCTCATACCATTGCATCTATGTGGGCCAGCCCTTCCTAGAGCTGGTTCTGATATCACAAAACAACAAATATAGCATTTCAGGAAAAGCTAGGGTTATTCAAAATAGGCCAAGTGCCACCTCGCATCACACACCACTTCTATTCACAATAGTTTTTTTTTTGTGTGCCAACTGTTTGGCCCGTTTGGCATTATGAGACAGCAAGGCTTCTTCCTGTTTACTTTCTTTGTAGTATGCACAATAGAATCATAGCATTGTAGAGTTGGAAGGGACCACGAGGGTCATCTAGTCCAACTCCCTGCAATGCTCAACATGGGGCTCGAACCCACAACCCTGAGATTAAGAGTCTCATGTTCTACTAACTGGGCTATGTTCAGAGGCAATTTTGTGAACTTGATCACCCCACCATGCCTCCTGGTATGAATGAAATTTAGTACAACCTAGTGGTATACATGAGTTTGACCAAACTGCGGGAGGTAGTGGAAGACAGGAGTGCCTGGCGTGCTCTGGTCCATGGGGTCACGAAGGGTCGGACACGACTAAACAACTAAACAACAACAACAACAACAACAACAACGGTATATCAGTCAAAAGCCACAGTTCCATAATGCAACAGGTGCTGCAGTGTGAAAGCTTTGTTAGAAAACAGGACAGATGAGCTGGAAAACTAACACTGGAAACTAACACCTGGAAAACTAACACAAGAAGCCCCATGTCTGAATGTACCCCAGATGGACCTCAACACTGGTTAAGCCAAATAAACACACAGCAGCTTTAGGCAGCACTGATTATGTAACAATGTAATAATTTTGTTGTTGTTTAGTCGTGTCCGACTCTTCGTGACCCCATGGACCAGAGCACGCCAGGCACTCCTGTCTTCCACTGCCTCCCGCAGTTTGGTCAGACTCATGTTCGTAGCTTTGAGAACACTGTCCAACCATCTCGTCCTCTGTCGTCCCCTTCTCCTTATGCCCTCCATCTTTCCCAACATCAGGGTCTTTTCCAGGGAGTCTTCTCTTCTCATGAGGTGGCCAAAGTATTGGAGCCTCAGTTTCACGATCTGTCCTTCCAGTGAGCACTCAGGGCTGATTTCCTTAAGAATGGAGAGGTTTGATCTTCTTGCAGTCCATGGGACTCTCAAGAGTTTCCTCCAGCACCATAATTCAAAAGCATCAATTCTTCGGCGATCAGCCTTCTTTATGCTCCAGCTCTTACTTTCATACATCACTACTGGGAAAACCATAGCTTTAACTATACCGACCTTTGTCAGTAAGGTGATGTCTCTGCTTTTTAAGATGCTGTCTAGGTTTGTCATTGCTTTTCTCCCAAGAAGCAGGTGTCTTTTAATTTCGTGACTGCTGTCACCATCTGCAGTGATCATGGAGTCCAAGAAAGTAAAATATCTCACTGCCTCCATTTCTTCCCCTTCTTTTTGCCAGGAAGTGATGGGCCCAGTGGCCATGATCTTAGTTTTTTTTATGTTGAGCTTCAGACCATATTTTGCGCTCTCCTCTTTCACCCTCATTAAGAGGTTCTTTAATTCCTCCTCACTTTCCAAGGCAAAAAGATCTCCCAAACGAAGAGCCCTTATTTTCAGTTGGTTTAAGCACACACAGAGAACTTTTAGGATGAACTGGTGTAAATGGAGGAATGCATTAGCTTGCCCAGCCAACTTCAAAGACATAATACTAACCAAATGCATAGGTAACAAGGCAACCTACAAAAATAAACTCTAGCAGCAGCCACCTTATGATGTCCATAGGTCAGTGCTGGGGAACAAAGGGTTTCTTGTCCACTTGAAGCAGCACACACACAAACAGTCCAGATGAGCCTGAAATGGTCCAGCTCCAAACTTCGCCAAGAAGTGGATCAAAGGTTTAGACTAATATCAGTCCTCCCTGCAGGCTGTGCTGCTAATGTGTTGAGAGGAGTCAGCTGCTTGCAGCAGGGCAAGCATAATGGAGCGGTCCATTGGGGTAGTGAGGATAGGGGGAAATCCTTATGAACTAGCCCTTAATTGAGAGAGATGTGGCTGTAGTTACGCAGAGGCACAAGACTTCCCCCCTGCCTCTTAGAATTCAGCTGAATTGCAGAAAGCCCCCAACACTCCTCCCTACCTTGCACTGCAAAGATATTTCCTGAGTCAAATATTTGCTTAATTCCTTCCATTTCACTCACCAAAGAGGTTGTTAGCTTTATTTCACTGTCTAAGACTGTGTGTTCCTGTTTGTTCTCCATCCAGTCTGCTCCTGATGCTAGTTTGGGAAGCGGTGTGCACACAACTTAGCTCACACCATACCCATCCTGTTGTTTCTTACGAAACACTGTGGTTTGATGTGTTTCCCCTCCAAACCAGCTCCAATCTGAATTCAGAAAAAACAACGGTGCTTTAAGCCTGCAATGTGTAGGCACTCCAAGGCTCTTGACTGGAGACCAAAACAAAAAGCAGGTGGCTGTCAGGTCCATATAGCCAGTAGCACATACATTGATACTTGACTCCAGTTCCCTCACAGATGGCTGAGACATTACTGGAAGGGCTCTGAGCACACTTAGCTTTCCTCCTCTCTTTCTAGGCATGGTCCATGTGTTAAAACTGTATCAGAGCACACACCCCACCAGAGCTTTCCACATGAGAACCTGCTCTTTAAAGCTCAACCAAAGCAAACGGCAATCTGCAGAAAACCCAAACTGACATTTGCTCCAACTGAGTGCTAAAGAGTGGGTTTCTGTGGGGAAAACCTCACATTTTGACACAGAGCTTTTAAGCACAGACCTGAGCCTGGAAAGATCAGGGCAAAAGGCAAACGTGAATAAGCTCCTCGTTCTCTGGGGCTTCCAAGTCTTCAAAGTACATTCTTCCAGTTGTGGCGGAGAAACAAGAGGATGGGGGGGGGCTCCTGTGCAACTTAGGGCTCATCCTGACTTCCTTTTGCACCACACTTTCTAGGCACACAAGTGGCGCTGTGGATTAAACCACAGAGCCTAGGACTTGCCGATCAGAAGGTCGGCGGTTCAAATCTCCATGACAGGGTGAGCTCCCGTTGCTCGGTCCCTGCTCCTGCCAACCTAGCAGTTCGAAAGCACATCAAAGTGCAAGTAGATAAATAGGTACCGCTCCAGCGGGAAGGTAAACGGCGTTTCCGTGTGCTGCTCTGGTTCGCCAGAAGCGGCTTAGTCATGCTGGCCACATGACCCGGAAGCTGTACGCCGGCTCCCTCGGCCAATAAAGCGGGATGAGCACCGCAACCCCAGAGTCGGTCACGACTGGACCTAATGGTCAGTGGTCCCTTTACCTTTCTAGGCACAGGCCTGTACTTTAAAGCTCTGCATCAGAGGATTTTTGTTTCCCTGGGAAAACTCACATTTTACCACTGAACTGGAGCAAATGGCTGCAAGAGTGGAGCATATTCAAGAAGTAACCTGTAACCAGGAGAATGTAAAAGGTAAAGGTAAAGGTACCCCTGCCCGTACGGGCCAGTCGTGTCCGACTCTAGGGTTGCGTGCTCATCTCGCTCAGGAGGCCGTGAGCCGGCGCCGTCCGAAGACACTTCCGGGTCACGTGGCCAGCGTGATGAAGCTGCAGCTGGCGAGCCAGCACCAGCGCAGCACACGGAAACACCGTTTACCTTCCCACTATAAAGGGGTACCTATTTATCTACTTGCACTTAAGGGTGCTTTCAAACTGCTAGGTGGGCAGGAGCTGGGACCGAACGACGGGAGCTCACCCCGCCGCGGGGATTCGAACCGCCGACCTTGCAATCAGCAAGTCCTAGGCACTGAGGTTTTACCCACAGCGCCACCCGCGTCCTTAACCAGGAGAATGTATTCAGTGGTAAAACACAGTTTTTCCCAGGGAAATCACCGGGACAAAACAAAAACAAAAACTCCCTTGGACACCGAGCTTTAAAGCCCAAATCTGTGCCTAGAAACATGGCACAAAAGGAAGTCAGGATGAGCCCTAGTTCTTAGAGACAGCTCCTGGCAAGTTGGAGATACTTAGAAGAATGAGTAGCCTTATCCTGAGTTTGTTCCAGTTACAACCACCAGGAGCCTTAAGAAGAAGACGCCAGCAAGAGGTGTAGGAAACTTGCCACTGGCATAGGTGTGAAAGTTTCTGTGCAGTCAAGTTTTCCATTGCCTCCTCTTATACCTATTTATTGGATACTGCACCTACTTTCTCACCATCTGTTCCAGTAAATATTAATCCTTGGTACCGTTCCAGTTATAACTGGTTGATTGGTATCGTATCATCCCTTCTTCAGTACTAAATATAATGTTTTACTATATATATTTTTCTTCTGTGATCCAATAAAAAAATAAAGCTGAAATCCTATACCCACTAATCTGCATGTGAGTCCCATATACATGCACAGAAATGTGCTGTCAGTCTTTGAGAACAAGACTGCGTTTGACTTTTAAACTATGCAAGGAATGCTTTTAATTCTCATCCACTCCCTCATCAAATATGGTTTCACTGTTATTTCAATTGCTCTTCCTTCAATTGCTCTTCCTTCCCAAAATTTCCCAAACAGTATGGCTGTTTTTATCTCATGGGTGTTAACATCTTAGATTCCTTGGCATAGACTTAGACCGCATAGGCATACAAAAGGGTCATAATGGAAACGCCCTGACTTTCCACTGTGTCCACAACTTAGTTAAGGCCCAGTAGATTAGTTAAGAAGGTGTAAGAAGGCAAAAGAAGAAGAGTCACTCTTGAAAGACAGTATCATGGTTATATTCATGGTTATAATCATGGTAATATATTCAGAACAGATCCATTGAAATAAATGGCCATAGCATTCAGTTCAATTAAGTTCAATAGGTCTACTTTGAGTAGAGTTTAACTGGAATACAATCCTCTGTAGGAAACACTAGATCTTTCTTGTAGGAAGGGATAGAATAATAGAATTGTGGACTAGATGAGGGTCATGTAGTCCAACCCCCAGTAATGCAGGAATCTTACCTAAAACATCCATGACTGGTGGCCATCCAACCTCTGCTTAAAAACCTCCAATGACAGAGAGTCCACTACCATCTGAGGGAAGGGCCGCTGAAACATATTCCTCATGGAATTTATAAGCAAATAAGGACAGAACAGGTGTTGCAAGGTGTGACAGAAGAGCTATTTCACACACACACCCCAGAGATGATATACAGAATACAGTCGCACCTTGGAAGTTGAATGGAATCCATTCCGGAAGTCTGTTCGACTTCCAAAATGTTCAGAAACCAAGGCGCAGCTTCTGATTGGCTGCAGGAAGCTCCTGCGGAACACTCACTTCCAGGTTTGCGGTGTTCAGGAGCCAAAATGTTTGAGTCGCAAGGCGCTGAACTTCTGAAGTACGATTGTACAGTAAAGATGATTAAAAGCAACACAGAAA